TATAAATGAATCTAATGAAAGGTGTAAAGCCTCTACACAGAGAACTACATTATTGAAATAAGGAAATAAAAGAATAGAATAAAAAGCAACCCATGAAATGGGAGGGAAAAAAGTTTGAAAATCATATGTCTTATGTGGGATTATATCCAGAATATACAAGTAGTGAGAACTCAGCAATAGAAAAGACAACCCCATGAAAAAGTGGACAAAGGATTCAAGTAGACATTTCTCCAAATTAAGATATACTAGTGGACAACAACCACACAAAAAGTGTTTCCACATCATTGGTCATTAGGGGAATGCAACTCAAAACCACAATGGGAAATAAAGTCGTGTATACAGAATACAAATTGATTTTCCCCAGAGGGGAGGGCAGTTGAAGGAATGAGCGGAAAAGATGACAGGATTAAGTACAAATTGGCAGTTATAAAAATAGTCATGGGATGTAAAGTACAGCACAGGGAATATAATCAATAATATTGTAATAACTATGGATGGTGTCAGATGGGTCCTCGTCTTACCTGGAAGATCACTTCATACGTTATACAAATGTCTAACCACTATGTTGTATGCTTTAAACTAATATAATTTATCAATGGTAATTGAAATTAAAAAAAAAAAAAAGAAAACAGTGAAATTACACTCACTGGCTGTAATGACCTCAGCTTTTTTAAAAATGGCAAATAAGCACTAGTGAGGAGGTGAAGAAACTGTAGCCCCTCACGCATTGCTAGTCGGAATGTAAAATGGTGTGCTCTAATGAAGAATAGTTTAACTGTTTTTTCAAACAGTTAAACATAGAATTACCATATGGCCTGGAAATTCTCCTCTTAAATAAACAACCCCAAGGACTGAAAACATATTTTCCCACAAAAAATATTTACACAAATTTTCAACAGCATTATTCATAATAGCTGAAAAGTCAAAACAATAAAAAGCCCTGTGCTAATAATTGGATAAACAAAATGTGCTTTATTTAGCCACAGAAAAGGGGAATACTGTTATGTTCTACAACACAGATGAACCTTGGAAACGTGCTAAGTTAAATAAGCTAGACACAAATCTCCACAAGTTGTATGATTTTTTTGAATGAATGTCCCAAATAGGAAGATCCATAGAGTCAGTGTACAGGTTGCCAGGGAAAGAGTTGATAAAGGTGAAAGGGATTGATTGCTAATAATAACTTGTGGTACTAGTAATGTTCTAGAATCAGTGGTGATGTTTACACAAAATTGTGAACATACTACAAACCACTAAATTTTACAGTTTAAAACAGTGAATTCTATATTGTGTGAAAATGTTATTTTTACAAAGTCAAACTCTTAATGAAGGAAAAGGCACGGTAGAAGGACCAGCTGTACAGGCACCAAGGTATTGAAGTTACTTCCCGTAAGAGCATGATAAAGACTGAAAGTTAAATGGAATACACTGACGTCCAGAAACAGAGCCAAGAATCTACGGAAACTTATTTTATGACAGATCTAGCATTGTCGAGCAGCGAGCAAAGCTGAGGTATTTTCAATACATTTTGTTGGGTCAATTTGTATAATAATGAAATTATAACCCAACTCACACTGAACAAAACACAAATTTCAGGTAATTCGATAAGATGTGAGAGGCAAACACATCATAACATAACAAAACACTTAGGAGAAAATAGAGGAGACTATATATGACCATTTTGTATAACAAACAGGACACAAAAATAATTAAAGGGGTGCTTAAATTTGACTATAGTGAAATTAAAAATAAATTTGCAGCAAAAGGCACAGTGAGTACAAGTTTTAGCTGTGGAGCAGGAAATATATTTGCACCACATATAAACAACAAAGGGCCCTTATCTAAAATGCACAAAGCATTTCCACAAATCAATGAGGAGAAGACAACCCACAGAACATGGTCAAGAAAACTGAAAAGTATATTCTTAAATGAATATATAAATGACTAATATATGAAATGTCATAAAGCTCATTAATAAGGCCATATAAATAAAAAGCATAATTATATTCCACTGCACAGTAAGCTGATGAATATAATTAAGCAGGATAAAAATATTTCTGGTGAATTCGTACAACAGTGGCAACGCTTACACTCCATTTAGCAATATCTGTTAAAGTAGAACATACGCACATTTGTTGACATAGCAATTTTCCCCCAGAAAATATCCAACAGAAGTACATATACATGCATACAAGGATGCTTATAGTAGAATTATTCATAATAACAAAAAAAGTAGAAATAATCCATATACCTGCCAATAGGAGATTGAATGTATAAATTGTGTAGTAGTCATCTAGTGGAATATTACAGAGTGATGAAAATTAACTATAGTTATAAGCCATAAGACAGACAGATCTTACAAGTATAATGTTAAGGGAAAGAAACTAGACATAGTAGAAAGTAAGTGTATGATCCCAATTATTTAAGTCCAGAGCAAAATAAAGCTATAGGATGACCAAAAAAATCTGAAAACATGGACAAATACATTCAATGGCAGTACATGTTCAAAGAGTTGTCGTTCTCTGGTGATGCATAGTCAATGCCCATGCTAAAGTGTGGAAAATGTGGGGCACTAATGCTGCATTTACACGGATCTCTGCATATGCAACTCTGTTGCTTCAGATGGTTTGTATTTTTATTTGAACTTGTATTTTAGCATAACACACAAGAAGTAATCATGTGGATTCAAATTGCATGTATGTATATGTTTATATGTTTATATATATGCGAGGTGTATATGTGGTGTGTATATCTGTGTGTGTATGCACATATATATATATATATTTGTATATGCTCTGTATATATGTGAACAAGCTTCAGGCTTCTATGAGTTAGTCATGTTTTTCTAGTTTTTTTATCTAAGTGGTGATTACATACACATTCACTTTGAGGCAGTTTATTAAGCTATATACATTTGTACTTTTGCAAGTTTCTTGTGTGGATTGTAACTCAGAAAAATAACTCAAATTATGAAAAGAAAAGAAAATCTAATAGACACTCTCCATGGCTCCCATGAGCAGTAAAGATCCAGGGACAGAGGCTTCCAGGAGACAAACCACTCACTCGCACCTTTGAAGACATGCCAGGGAATTCAAAGAGCTCTGTCATAATACAACAAAATTCATTATCTGGCCCGGCCGGGCATGGGTCAGCAGTTGAGTGTCGACCTAGGATCGAGGAGGTCTTGGTTCGATTCCCGGTCAGGGCACATGCCCGGGTTGTGGGCTTGATCCCCACTTGGGGGCGTGCAGGAGGCAGCCGATCAGTGACTCTCATCATTGATGTTTCTCTCTCTCTCTCTCCCTCTTCTTTCCTCTCTCTGAAATCAATAAAGATATATTTAAAAAAAAATTCATTATCTACTCTTCTCAAATGAACTGCTAGTCTTCTTAAATAATTCAAGGTCCTAGAGAAAGAATTTTAAGATTCATTCTAGGCAGTTTTTACCAATGAGTGGTCTAGTGTTATGCATATAATTTTGGTCAGTAACCTAACTTAAACATTTAGATGTTCTCATATGTGGAATGTAATAAATGAAATAAAGTGAGGAACAAAATAGATCCAGAGACACAGAAGCATGGAACAGACTGAGGGATCTCAGAGGGAAGGTAGGTAGGGGGGAGTGAGGAGAGATTAATCAAAGAACTTACATGTCTATAAGCATAACCCATGGACACAGACATTGGTATGGGGAAAGCCTGAGGGTGGGGTGGATGCGGGGTGGAGGGGATCAGTGGGGGGAAAAAGGAGACATCTGTGATGTTTCCAACAATAAAGATAAATTTAAAATAAATAAATAGGTAAATAAACATACAGAGAATAAGATGCAGGCACACATTCATATGCGCAGACAAACACACACATAGGGTCAGCTCCCCTTCACATTTATTGTATTCTACATTCTCTTTCATGAAATGAAAAGTGTTTTAATATCCAAACAATATGTAGTTGGAAACTTGATTCCCAAGGCAAAAAGAAAAGGTGATCATCATAAGTTTAAAAAAAAATCTCTTATTTTATAATAACAAATGTTAGGAGTTCAATATTTCTGCTCAAACACAGAGGCAGGCAGGCATATTTACAGAAGGCCTCACAATGCTTGCCCTTGCCTTTACACAAGACAACATTTATAAAACCTTTGCATCCCATGGCAGGTGCTGGGTCTTCTCCTGGGGATATGTGCTGATCAGATATTGCCTTTCGTTTGAACTTTAAATACCTTTTAAAAATAGAGTTTGCATTTTAATGTAATTTGAAAATTAAAAGTCTTTTATTTTTATCATTATAATATCTTCCATGAATTTACTTTTCAAAAATGAATCAAAGCAAAAACTAATTACTGTCTGATAGCCACCAAAGGCAGAAAAATACAAAAAGTTTTTTAAAATGAAGCTTTGGTTTGCCTTGCCTGTAAGAAAATTAAATATATATAATAAATATTAGAGGATTTTATGCACATTTAATAATAATAGTCTCCCTTCTTTTGAGTACTTAAATATTTAAAATGAACCCGGCATGTGTGGGTCAGTGGGTTGGGCATTGTCCTGTGCACCAGGAGGCCCAGGTTCGATTTCCAATCTGGGTACATGCCTGGGTTGCCGGCTTGATCCCCAGTATGGGGCATGCAGGAGGCAGTTGATCGATGTATCTCTCTCATTGATGTTTCTATCTCTTGCTCCCTCTCTAAAAATCAATAAAAAAATATATTTTTAAATATTTTAAATGAATAATTTTATGATCAACTGAATAATTAGAAACTTGTGTTCAGGATCTAGGCTATATTTCCTTTTTTTTTTTAATGACACAATATGAGGTTAAGTAAACACTTAGATTTAAGTAAAAAAAAAATTATCTAAAAATGCTATCCCAAAGCATTTTTAGCATTCTGTAGTACTTGTAATTGTAATAATATTATAGAATTTTAAATTTTTATTATATATATGTTTAAATCAGGAAACTAAACTTTTTTCTCTGTCTTCCTTATTTTTGTGTTTTATTAGGCTTGGACTCCTGGATCATCTGGTGACTTCAAAAATCTGGTAAGAAACATTTTTCTGTAATATCACAAATATTTTTGTTTCCTTTGCCATGAATCTTTGGAGGATGGCTTTCTTCCTATCTCAGGCTTAATCTTTTTAAAAAATTTTCCCCTTGTTTCCATCCCTTGAGATTGAGTCTTATAAGACCAATTGAAGGAGAGCCAGTTTCATCTTTACTCATGTAGGGTGATCTGATAAGTTCTGATGCTAGAATATTCAACTTCATGGATCAGGAGAATATTCCAAAAAGGGGTAGCATTTATTTCTTCAGGAAATAAAAATTTCTGGAAGAGTCTGAGATAAGAAAGAGGATTATTCCGGTATGATGAAGACGGTATCAACTGGAGAAATTTTCTTTTAAAAAATATCAAATGCAACAGCAAGATAAAAACCACAGACAAGCTGAGTATGATAACTAAATTTATTAAAAAGTTTTTTTTATTACTATATTGTTGGTATTATAGTTTACATAGTGTAGAACTAGGAACACACTGAAGGCACTGCTCTTTTCCACGTGGTAGTTAGAATCCTGAGATATTTGCCTGGTACATATATTATCGGCATGGGAATGATATAGTGTTTAATTTTTTAAAAGACTGGTTGGGGTAGAAGTGTTTCTACTTAGCTGTATTTTTCCAAACTACAGCTTTTGTATTCACTTTAGACTCCACCCAGACCCCTCCTTTTTTCTCTCCAAATATTCTTGAAATATTGCTCACATTCAAATTCTTATATTGGAATCCTACTATATTGTGAACTTATGTAAGACTATAAAACATATTTTATCTCATTTTATTTTCTAAAGAATAATTTAGCTTGGATTTTTAGTCTTGTATGATTTGGGGTTCCCCAGCCTTCTAGATCTCTAGACCATTGTAGAATACCCAGCCAAGAGTAGTATGAAAGTTCTTCTTGATAGATTGCAGGAGTGTGGTCCTACACAGCATTCTTTACTAAGAAGTGGTTATGGCTGCGTTAGAAAGGGAGGCTCATGGGAGTCCAGCATGTTGTTATTGTGTTATTGTACATGGCCTCTCACTCCCAAACGCTTCTCAGGGTTTCTCAGCTAATACCATCTGGTCATGTTACCCTAAGTTTTCTGTGCTACTTCTGTCCATTCCTTGAGTAACTACCAAGAAAACTCAATGCCGATCAGGCCGATCAGTTCTTTCCTCGCACAGCTCCCACTGTCACTGTTTCTGATTTTGTGAACAGTCCTTTCCTCTATGTTCCCAATCACCCACCCCTTTTCTATTCACTCCTCAAGGCCAAGGCCAACTCCAACTCCCATTTTCTCCTGGAAGTCTGCATTATTTTAAATATTATAGTTGGATTCCTCTTCTCCTTGAACTCTTTATTTTCCGGATCACGAAGCACTTTACCTTATATTCATTGTTACATGTTCTAAGGTTCTTGTGTTGTATGCAAATTTTCTACTCAGCAATTTTGCAAGCGTGTTAAATGTGGTAACAATGTCATCTTGTGCTGCTTACACTGACGTACCTAACAGATTGCTCTGTGTTTAGTAGGTCCCCAAGAAATATTTTCAACTGAGTAACTTATTTAGGATCTCAGTTATACTTATAAAGACCAAACCTGAAATTTTAGTTCTATTATTGTTTGCTTCAATATATATATCTAGAATTATATATACATTTATAATTTTTAAAGGAAACGATGACATGAATATGGAGGATGATTAATAGTATTTCCTGAAACAAATTCTGAACTACGTGATACACTCTATAAAACTGTTTTTAGAGTATAATTTAGAGAAAAATATATAAATATAAAATTCAAACCATTATATATTGAAATGCAAATTGAAATGCAAATGATAATATTTATCACAAAATAAATAAATTAAAATATACTCTATTTTATTATCATATAACTCTCAAGCTAAAAAATGTTTACTCTAGAACTAAATGCCAGCAATAAAAATTCACTGGACTATGCAGAGCTAACATTGCCCACATTGAAGTTGAAAATATTTACAAAAAAACCTTATTGCAGCATTTTTAACTTATATAAGATAATGTGTTTAATGTTTACGATTCACTGAATTTTGTATCTGCGTGTGCAATTTCAGCAATCTGTTCCAATTCATGAATTTTGTTTTCTGCACCTGGAGTTTGGCCCTTTTAAGAGGTCAAAATAATAACATATGCACAATTATGTACAGATGAAGGGAGTATGTATTTTTAAACATTCACTGTATATCACGTGCTATGCTGGGTGCTTTTTCTGTGTAGACTCATTTCAACCTTCCAACCAGACTATGAGGCATGCATTTTGGTCACCCCTTTAGAGCTGAACTAAGGGTCTAAGAAGTTAATTAGTTCATCTACATTCACTTATATAATCACAATGCTGAGGTCTCAATCTTATTCCTAGGACTCTAAAGACTCCACTGAGATGCCTTCCTAAAGAAAACTTGCCTCAGTAAGATTATAATAAAATCCAACTTTACATGTATTGGAGTACTAACCCTGATCTTCAGTTCTTAAGAAAATTTATATTTACGTGATTAAAATGAGATTTAATCTTTGTACCTACAGCTATTTGAAAAGATGAAAGGTGTGCCATCATTACTGTTAGTATGCAACCATGATATAAATTGTCATTATGTGAACATAAATCATATATTCAGAAACCAAAGAAAGTAATCATACTCCCACCAATTCGTTTATTCGTTCATTTTCATACAATTTATTGGGTAACTTTTTGTGTGCAAGCAATCTGATAGGGGTTGGGTAATAAAAATGACACATGAGAATTGTCATTTTATATATTCTGCATAATTGTGGTGCTTTTATTTTCTTCAAAAGTTGCTGTTGATTAAAAATTTCTGAGCATTTGTTTTAGGACTTCTATTGTTTCCCTTTCCTTTCTGGGATAGCAGTTTACTGCAAATCATAAAAATAATGTGAGAAGCATTGTTAGTGCACGTTAATATTTGGGTTTGCTTTCACTCTTGACCGTAAGGGAGGTTATATTTTCCCTTCACCTTAGATGGGGTCATGGGATCACTTCCAGCCAAGGAAAAATAGAAATGAAGTATATCACTTCTGGGCAAAAGAGGTGAAAAGCCTCCATGTGTTTTACTAGTCTCTCTGCCTCTGCACCAATTGGAGATAACAGAGACACAGGAATAAATCATCCTGGATCCCTGAGTCACCTGATGGAAGATAGATGCTGTGGCAAGTCTCCCCCTTCCACAGACAACCTATAAGAACATGAAGTTAATTCTTTTGTCTTAAGCTACTGAGTTTTTTAGGGGGGTGGGGGAGTTTGTTACTGTAGCATAAACCTTGCCCAAACTAATCAAATAGTTCTTGGGAAAATGGGCATTGCAGTGACCCTAAACCAGAAATTTTACCTCCCTGAAACTCAATTTTCATCTTCGAAGTAGTGGACTAGATGATCTCTCAGTTTCTTTCCAGCGGTAACACACAATCCAATGAGACCTAAGGACATCAGATGGGACCATGGTACTGTTTTTTGACATCTCTTGATTGATATTTATATATACGCAAACAATACCTTTACATTTACTGTTGGCAATATTATTTTTTATATTTATGTATTTATGACTGTAAAATAGTTCTTTCTTGACTATCACCTAATAATCTGAGGTACTTGGCATAGCAGGCAACATAGGGCCCCCTAAATAAAAGCCTTGGGAAAATCTGTACTAAAGAATTTAATAAAAATAAGTTATTTTTCACTTACCAAATATCTTTAGATGAAACAAAGAACATGAGGTAAGGAAAACTACAAGGCATGTATTTACATATAAAATGGCACACTTTCCAGTTGAAAAATGAACAGCATTCCTGAAATAGTACTTTTGCTCTTTTAATCTTAACTAGCACTAGATAACAGTTTATATTAAAGACCATATAGCAATCTTTTTTCTCCCTAACTTAAAAAGAGTTTCCACGTCTTAAATTATGTTATTTTGGTATGGTGCTCAGAGTAATCTATATTTAACTCTTTAGGTTTTGGAATGACCTGAAACAAAAATCCTCTCCTATGTCTGGTTCTTTTTTTTGCCTTTTATTGTAGAAATCTCTGTATTCTGTCTCGTTTTTATTTTTTAAGATATGCACTAAATTACGTGCCACCAACATGCCAGATAACATCATTTCTATAACAGCTAATTAATTAAACATACTCCCTTTTCTTCACACACAAGACTAGAGATCAAAAATAATTACATACAATTACCTGGAACTGAAAAGATTTAAATATACTGCTACAGAAGAGGGCACAACAAATTGTGCCTCATGAAGTATTTCATGCCAGTCATTAATAGTCTCTAAAATGGTTGTGGGACATTAAAATCTACCTCTGTAATATTTATTCAGCTTTTAAGAGTCAAAGTCAGTACATCTGGAATTTAATCCAACTTGAGTGTTACATTCCTTTAACAATTTCTTTTAACCTTGTATCTGCTGTTCCTCTCACCTAATTTCACCTTCGGGATAGAGTTTAAAAAACATTCTTAAGGCAGCATATTCCCATTCTGGGGAGAATACTAGTTTGTAAACACATTCCCTTGGCATTGAACAAAAATATTTTATATTAGTACTTTGCTCCTCAAGATGACTGACATAGGATTCACGTATTTGCACATAACAATCCTTAGTTGAACTCTATTAGTTTCAATATTTGGGTTATATGGAAAAGTGTCCTTTGAGTGAAAAGTTAAATTATCTACATTTTTATTTAAGCTACTCTCATCTGATGTAGAATATTAATAAATGCTTTTATGTAAACAATTTAAATAGGGATTCTATCAAATCTTCTGACATTATCTATCTTGGTAATAATATATTGAAAGAACATTTTGTGGTTAATTAAGCACGACATCCCCTGCTTGATTTCTTGCCTGCTGTCCTGAGTAAAGTAGTACTTTTCCGGTTGTTCACCAGAAAGGAAATACTACCCTAATAGACTTTTTAAAATAATTTTTATACTCCCTATTTATTACT